GCCAATGTGATCGCGGTTCCTGGCTGTCACCGGCGCGTGCGCGATGGCTGTTGTGAAGTCTGGTTTGCCAAGCACGCGTTCGCCGTTCTAGTATCGCTGTCCGAGTCGTATCGATGCAAATGAGTATCTAATCCGAGCCATCGCCACCAGTGGCGATATATCGATTGATCGGCCATTTAAACCTATGGAAAAATATTGATAAACAGGGTGTTCGCAGCGAACACCTTAATTATCGATTATTTACCACAGCTTCAGATGGGAAAACATCGATTGATCGCGAAGCACGCCACGCCTCTGATCGCCACTGTCTGATATACTGCGCAGCGATTTTGTTTTTTTTTTTTTTCCTTCGTGTCCTTACTAAGGAACGCGTAGCCAGTTGGTTACGTTTGAATTTTCAGCCAATTATGTTAAGTTTTTAAAATGTGCGATCGTCCACGGATGATGGGCCGACAACGAGTCAAAAAGTCGGTTTTGAAAATTGATCGAAAAATATTTGGGGTTTCTGCCCGAAGAATGAGTTGTAAGTGGTTTAATTCATGGTTATGTGTGCAAAATCGTCGCTCCTCTAGTGTATGGGCATATCTCAGTTTCCACTTGGGACTTGTTTGACATTAGATTTCATGCTTTCTGGGGCTCATATGGAAATCGAGATACGCCCTTTACGTCAGGGGATCGACGAAATAGACCAAGTTGAGATAACGATTCGTGCTCCTTGGTAGATTTTTTGCCTATACGGCAATATTGTAGGCGAACATCAGGCGGACGCTACTTACTATCCTGGTTTATTTATTCGCAATCGAAGCTTTGAGCAAGATGGTTCTTTGTTTTTCGAATAGATATCAATTCAGGTACCTCGATAGGTTTGTCGATCAGGGAGCAAAATTAAAGGCAATACGAAACTGGCAAATGTTTGAACAGCAATTACGCACGCTATGCCGCGTCGAATCGGCTTTTTGCCTTCAATTTTGAAGCTAGGCAATGTTAGCGACACCTGAGTAAGAATAGTTATCTCAGGGAATTCGTCGCACCTAGTTACGAATGTGGGAGTGCTGTAAAACAGATGACCTGTAAACAAGTTATAAAAGCATTTTGATACATGTTTCTCAACCAAAATTTCATGCAAAACTTGATTCGCGCAAAAAAAAAATTACTGAAACTAACCCCTAATTATGATCGGTTTTTTAATAACTTTTTCGCGTCTTCATTGTGCGCATCGTCTCGTACGTGCCCGTTGTTTGATAAATTGCATTAGCAAGTCAAACAGAGTGGTCACAGCCAGAAAATACCGGGAAATGTCAGGGAATTTTGAAACGCCAAGGAAAACCTGGGAATGTCAGGGAAAATGTCCGGGGAAAATTGCTAAGTCACCTTTAATTGCTTTCTTTAATAGGTTTCACGTTTCGAACAACAAATGCCTGAAAACTATTTCTAATTATGTCTTTTTAACCATCTGACATACTTTCAATCAGTCCGCGTTAAACAGGAAGGAACCAAGCCACATCAGCTATGGCCAAATTTTATTGAGCATTTCAACTTTTTACATGAAAACGGTTGTGCAGATTTCCGTGCCAATTTCAGTGAGTCTTCTCCTTAGTACGAAGCAAATTCTTTACAATTTTTAGAGGAATCCACGAGAACGTTTTCTCGTAAAAAATTACAACGCCCAGTTGAATTTGGCAATAGCTGATGCGGCCTTGGTTCCTTTCTGCTTAACGCGGTCCAATTGTCAGGGAATGGAGATGTTGCATGTGTGAGGAATCTGCGATTTGACTACTGATTCTTGTGTAAAAGTTTGCGAGAAACGCGATGGTGGCACTGGTTTTCTCTGAAATCAACTCCCAAGCTCAAGAAAAGCTCTCAAGTTGAGGCCAAAATGGAGGGGATATCCCACGCTATCCTGTGAGTCTACCTCTACATGAAGACAAACTCTCCATACAAAGTTAGGGAGCAAATACATTGAAAGGGCTGCCACTTTATTTGGGGACTTTAAAACTGAAAACATGGCATCCCGCATCCCTGCTAATGTATTTGCTCCCTATCTTTGCATGGAGAGTTTGTCTTGATGTAGAGGTGGACTCTCAGGATAGCGTGGGATATCCCCTCCATTTTGACCTCAACTTGAGAGCTTTTCTTGAGCTTTGGAGTTGATTTCAGAGAAAACCAGTGGCACCATCGTGTTTCTCGCGAACTTTTGCATTAGAATCAACAGTCAAATCGCAAATTCCTCACACATGCAACATCTCCATTGTCAGGGAATTCTACCAAGATGTGTCAGGGAAATCAGGGAAACGCCAGGGACTTTAATTTTCTACACTGAAAAAAAAGTTCGGTAAATACGAACTAGTCAGGATCATAATAATGGAACCACGATTTTGTTCGGTACACACGACTGAATTATTCGGTCTGCTCAGCCGAACGGTTCGATCCACTGAACCGAACTGTAAGAATTTATTATGGTTCGGTCGCACAAACCGAACAATTCGGTTGTGTGTACCGAACAAAACCTGGTTCCAATGATCCTAATTAGTTCGGATTTACCGAACTTTTTTTTCAGTGATAGATTCGATGGCCACTGGCTCAAAATTCAATCATGGTCTAGTGACCCGTGCTGAGCACTTTACGATCGTCCACGCGGTCGCGGTCACCGCGTCATCCTCCCGTCGCGTCGTCGGTGACGGTCCCGGGTCCTGGACGTCCGTCTCGACGTGGCCACGTCAGTGGTGCCCGTCGACGGCGTGCGCGCGCAGCCGCCGGTTCGAAACCACCGCTCGCTGGCTCCGTTTCCCGCCGCGGCGACGGCGGCCTCGGCAGTCGTCTCCTGCGGTCCGAACCCGTCCGCTCGTCGCTCGTGTCGCGCACGCTCGTCAGGATCCGCGAACGCGAACCCACGCTGACGCAATCCCCCGCGCTCTCGCGTTATCCCCGGTTTTCGGTAATTAGTGTGTGACTGTGAGTGCTAGTGTGCAACTGATTTGGATAACCTTTAAACGAGCATCCTCCGCCTAGCTGCTCCAGCTGCCGAACGTGGAGTTGCGTTCTTTCCAGCAGGTTTCAGTCTGATTCCCACCTGAGTGTATGAAGCATGTGTCTAGGACCCGGAAAATCCGGGATCCAATAGAGAACAATTGGGAAAAAATCCTGCAATAAGGGACTACAATTGATGGCTCTTAATTAAAAACTCCTATCTACGCAGGAAAGCTAATGGTACACGGAGAAAAAAACCTCGTGCGTGGGACCCGAAGTTTAGGTCATATGGATCTCTGAAGTTTTCGAATTGAGCATCTGAACACTTTAGGTCTAGCTGGTGAGGTTCGGATCACATATCTGAGACTCCAGTTCTTAAATCTGAAGTACTTCAGATGTGAGAACCGAAGTTTTTCGGATGTGAAAACCGAAGTACTTCCGATGTAAGAACTGAAGTACGTCAGATGTAAGAACTGAAGTTTCAGATGTCTGATCCAATCCTCAGCAGCTGGACCTACAGTGTTCAGATTCTCAATCCGAAAACTTCAGAGATCTATATGACCTAAACTTCGGGTCCCACGCACGAAGTTTTTTTCTCCATGAATACACTGAGACAAATAGTTCTGTTCACACTTCTTTTGTAACAGTCACAGAAGCTTCTGTTATGAAGACAGAGTACTCTGTTCCCACGACCCAAGTTCTGTTCTCACAACAGACAAATTCTGTAAGCGTAAAAAAGAAACTGCAGGAGCCCTGTGAACAGAAGGTTCTGTCGTCAGCACCATCTACTTTTTTCTGTGTAGAGAACAAATGTTGCAATATGGATATATTTGGTTCGTTTTAGAAACGACATAAATGCCGTTGATTTTCCTAGGTAGAATGGTGCTTTTATGAAAGAGCAGATAGTGGTTCCATATTGCAAAATTTAATCCAAATGAGGGGTTTGGAGGACAAGGCGTATAAGTGCAGTTTTTGAAAAAATTGAGGTATTGATGCTTTCAAGTAAAACTAGTTTTAGTCCGTACTCTGTGAAAAATTCACTCCCAATATTCTATTTTCAGCATGAAAAAGTCAGTTTGAACTTTCTTTTCGCCGGAAGGATCCATGTAATTTCGAAACTCCAGACACGTATTTCTCGAAGCAGCAAAAACTGCACTTATGCGCCTTGTCCTCCAAGCCCCTCAAATAGTCCTCTGAAAATCATGGAGCTCTCTCATATAACACGGATTTTCGAACCAAGCATCTTTTCTAACGTAAAATTTTGCGAGATACAAGATGGAGCCGCTGATTTTCTCTGGAATGAACCTCAAAGCTCAAGGAAAGTTCTTAAAGTTGGGGTCGCGATGGATAGGATCGCCTTTCTTTGAGTTTTTTCAGCAAACAAAAGCAGTCGTTTATCCTGTTTCTGCAAAAGTTGACCTCAGAAAAAGTGCTTAAATCTCGAATCCGTGTAAAACTGTGGCATGCAACTTGCAAGAACTCCATCGAAAAGTTGATCTTGTAAAACGGGGATTTCTTTATCATGAAAAGCCCTCCCCCCCCCCCCCCCCCCCCAAGGGACCGTCCACTAATGAACCGATTCTTGTCCAAATGGCGTAAGTACCAAAAGCACGATTTCGAGGAAAAGGAGAAAAACCGCATTACTCGACCGTAACCGGTCGATACAAACTGAGAATTCAAAAGTTTTTTTGAGACCTTAAAATTTTATACAAACGTCGATCCTCATGGTTCAATATACATCTTAGTATTGACAATAGTATTCCATTATATCCCCATTTTTGAAAATTTGGCGCTTACGTCTTTTGGAAAGTAATCAGTTTTAAAAATGTATGTAATTTTTGCCGATTTTCCGACTTCTTTCTCCCCAATACCAGCCCCCCTCTCTTCCGCCCACCCTTTCTCCAAGGGGTTTATCAGGCTGTGCTGGACTCATATCCCTAAGCACGTGACGTCAATTCAGGATGTCACATTGAAAGAGCCTTTTTTGCCCCCTTTTCTGGAAATCTAGGGATGTTTTCAACGTTTGGCCGAAACGGAACCTAACGATGAGACGAGTCGTCGATAAATATTTTCGCTTCGATTCGAATGTGGTTTTGGTGCATCTTGAGGGGAGTAGAACAAAAGTTCAGTAAGTCTAAAAAAATGCCCCAGATTCGATAGAATTTACAGAGATTGTCTCCCTTCTCCCTTTGACTTTCCTATTAAACGCCCCCGATGATATGGATCCCTTTAGCCTTGAAAATTCTAACTGACCACTAACAACTCCTTTATTGCTTTGGCTTTGTTAGCCGCGCAATGAAGTGAGCTTTTAAGTAGGGTAATAATTGATCTTTAATTAATGTATAATTATCTGTTGGATGCATCTTGCTGGACCAAGACCAAGACTCCAAGAGCGATGAACTTTCGCCGTAGGTTGCCCCCTCTACGTGTCATTTGTACCGCAGCGCGCGCGCTTCGTTCATTATCGCACGTTCGAGCTGATCATTGAACTTGTTAGTATCAATGCGATTAGAGATAGCTCCCAACTCATTGAAACGAATTTGTACGCATCGTATATAATCGGACTTCAGGCTTTGAGGTTAGCCCAACTCGTTCAAAAACTTTAATTTTTTTTGAGCTAAATATCAGGAGTTGTCACCAATTTCGACGGTCCTGCTGAATTTCCATCAAATTATTAGCGAATCTGATTTTTGGTTGAAAGTAAATCCAAGTTTTTTTAATTTCCGCGGTAGTCTCACACAAAAGATAGAAAGTCTTCTCTAAGGAGAATTTTCTGTAAAAACTAATCATTTTCCGATTTGTTAGGCAATTTATATTTTAATCGACGTCGACCTGTACGCACACGACTGATTGACTGCGTTTGTTACTTGTGCGACAGAATCGTGTTATGATGGTAAATTTTTAAACATGAACCAGGAAATAACAAGGTCAGCTCAAATTTCAGACTTTCGGGTACTTGTGAATAACTTCCCTTTTCTGAACAGGCATCGGTTGCGCAGAAAAACCATATCATCCAAGCCATGCGGGTCGATTTTTGAATCGTTTATCGAAGGATCCTGATCGATAAATCCCAATCATAGCAATGCCTTTTATCGATCATGGTCGTTCGATATCGATTCCACCATCGAGCCCCTGCGCTTCCAGTGGCGTGGCGTGAATTGCGATCTATCGATATTTCCCCATTTGAAGCTGTGGTAAATAATCGATTATTAAGGTGTTCGCTGCGAACACCCTGTTTATCGATACTTTTCCATAGGTTTAAATGGCCGATCAATCGATATATCGCAAAGCACGCCACGCCACTGATACGCACTGCCAATCTTCTTGGCAGTGCTTCGTCTAAACTATGTTTAGACAAGGCGCCTGCAAAAATACAAAAGCTTTTTACTTTGTCGTGACTTAACTGTTTTGTCCCCGAGGATTTTGACTACTTAAAGTGATGTTCGCAGCCCTTGTGCAGGGCTGCCGGCTTTTGGAGAGTGACACATACAAAATTTATAGAATTTTGAAGTTCTGAAAGCAATATACAGATATTTTAAGGAATTGCACACTTAATGTGAACATTCAACGAAAATGTAGATTTTCTTTTAATTTACCAGGAAAATAAGGATTCCCTGCATTATGAAATTTTCTGTTCCGCGATTTTCCAGCTAATAAAATAAGGACGAGAAAAAGCACTATAAAATTGGCCGAAACTTTAATAAAATAAGGACTTCATGTGAATATTTAACGAAAATGTAGAATTTCAAATTTACGAGTAAAACGCAGATTTTGTGCATACAGACATGTTCTGCTTCACGATTTTCCGTTAAGGAAATATGAGGACTCGAACTTTCTTGGGAGGCACTAGATCAATGCGGAATATACCATAAGGAAATGAGGGCTTAGACTTTCTTGGAATGCACCAGAATAATGTGGAACATACTGTAAATGCGAATTTTCCCAGGAAACTCTGGAAAATAGGACTTACGATGAATGTTCAAAGAAGACTTTCCGTTTACATAATAGCAACATTTGGATTCTCTGTCGACACTTTTTAATAAAATGCAAATTTTTTGTGCATTTATACGATATCCCTGTCTGTGTGCGCTCTCCGCATCTTGTCAGTGGCGTGGCGTGAATTGCGACGTATCGATTGATATGTAATTTAAACCTATGTTAAAGAATCGATTATAAAGGTGTTCACTGCGAACACCCTGTCTATCGATCCTTTTCCATAGTTTTAAATGGCAGATCATTCGATATATCGCAAAGCACGCCACGCCACTGTGTCAGAATCCCGACTGATCGCAGATAACAATGAAGGGTCGTGGATATTCTGTCCAATCTTTTATGATTTGTTGGGTACATTCAACTTTAAACGGAATTGATCAGCTTTTCAGATTAAGACGTATGCGTTGCTTTAGTTCTGTGGATTTATTTTGCCCTCTTCGTGTGTGCTTTGGAAAGTGTAAGCGGCACCAACAACCNCCCCCCGGACAAGCAGTTTTTTTCCGACATGTTTCGGCGAAAGTGCCGTGGTATGAAGCTGCTTCATTCGACGACCATTCGCTCCTCAGTTTTCCACGAACAGATTATTGTGGAATCTCCCACGAATCCGAGGGAGAATGCCGAGAATGCCTCTCTTTTTCAACGGAAAAAAAGTCTGAAGAGCAGGAGTTACATCGGGGAATTATAGAAAAAGCACCGATTTTTTCAATTGTTTTTTCCCCCCTCTTCAGAATGACTCCTCTCTCATAACACCGCTGCAATAGAGTACCTTTATAGACAGAGTATGGCCATTTCTGTTCCGGTTTTTCATTGGTCGCATGAAAATAGGCTGACACGATGCTCTTAGGGCCGTAAATAAACAAACAAGATGGCTGTTATCAGCAAGCAAGATTGAGGTTATGCACATCTTACATCCTCCTGTGATAAAGGTGAAAGGCGATTTAATAATGTTTTCATTTGTTTTTCGTGTGTTATTCGTAGATATGCTAGTTTAAATTGTTACTGCCGCATAATTGAAATTTTTATCAAATTTAGCTTCTTATCGATGTTACGGTGAGCCGCCATCTTGTTTGTTTATATACGGCCCTAAGAGCATCATGAAGCCTAAAAACTCGTTGA